TACAGTTCAGTTCTGAAAAGGAGTTCATAAAAATTCTTAGGCAACGGGTAGCCTCAGGTAATCAAGGAAATGATACTACTAAACAGAAGTGATTTGACGATAGTAAATGTCTCGGAAAAAGGGTAATGTGATTAGACTGATGATACTACGTTAGTATTGCGGTGCTTTCTTGCTAGATCGACTGCTGATGTCTGAGTTTGTTTGATGGCACAGTGGAATTTTAGAATATCTTTCGTGGAATGATTGGGTACTCGAGGTGTAATATGTATTCATACTGCGGAATTTGGGATCAGGTACAGTGATTCGTGTGCTATATGGAGTTGGAGACTGGGAGTTCTCAGGTACAAACTATGTAGTGGTTGTGGATCGTGTGTATCGGCACCGTTTAGCGGCTATTGGGATTTGGAGGCCCGAGTGGATCTTTCTTTGCTTGGTATATTAGATTTTTGGATACGATATCGGGGTGTAGACTGGTTGTCTCAGTGTTGGGTTATTCTAGACTATTGTGCTATGGGCTATGCCGAAAAATGCCACAGGTTGCGTGGCGAGGTGCATCGGATTTTGTTCTAGCAGAGTGGTTTGTATTCCAAAGACCAGGGGACGGCTGGGAAGGATTGCTTTTCTTAGTTGGGCCTTCGTGATGGATGTCAGTGCATAGGTTACTACCATTGGTTCTGTTCCGGTGTTAAGGGACTTTTCGGATGTGTTTCTTGTGGCCGGGCATGTCGCCGGGCGAGGTTGTGGATTTCGATATTGATTTGGTGTCGGGCACCGTATCGTACGGCTCCGGCAGGAGTTATAGTAGCGGAAGGAGCAGCTTCAGGCTTTCTTGGTAATGAGTTCGTTGGTAGGCTGACGTGGATACGTGTTTAGCTTGAGTTGGCTTGGTTGGCCCCGAATTGTATTGTTGAGGGATAGGTTGATTCGATCGTTATTGAGCTTGTTAGTGATCTGAGGAGAGCTATGAGTTGCTTTTCGGTGTTGTAAGACGTTATGATTTGTTGGTTATGGGCACATGTGGTGCGGTTCTATTGGGGATTCATAGTGAAAGTCGAGCTGGAAGAGTAATTGGGTGTTGCTCGGTAAATGGAGCATTGGTTATGACCTATCGGGTTGTGTGGCGTATGTTATTTGTTTCACCGTGGGTGTAATGAATTGCTTTGGTTCCAGACATCAAATTGTGCGTGGCTGTCGATTTTGAGCATAGTGACTTGAGGTGTTTCATGTGTAACAGTGTTTGGATAGGATCGCGCATTGTAGCGAGGCCACGTGGAGATATGACCTTTCGGGGTAGATTCAGGTGTTCTATTTCTATGATGTGAGACGGGGTCTCAGCCTTGTGTTGTGATGGCACCGATGAGCTTGAGGTACAGCTCTTTCGTTTGAGTCATTTTTCATGATTTGAGTATGTTCAGACCGTTTCTTATTGGTGCGCGTATTATGCAAGTTGTGGCTTAGGCCTGTATTGAGGTGTCATATCACCAGAGTGGTGTGTTAGATTCGAGGTGATCATTGGGGTCACTAATGAATACGAACGGATTTGATTTCAGCTTGTTGGAAGGATAATATCGAGGTTCGGCTCGGAATCTGCTGTGGTATTAGTCAAAAGGGAAGTGGCTTCATGAATGGTTGATCTGAGAAATGGTTACGGTTTATTGCGTGTTTCATTTATCGTTGGCAGTATATGAAAGTGTTGGAATAAGACCTTAGTTGATAAGAGGTTTTCTACCGGTATTCGGGTGTTGTGGGCAACTGCTGTGAATAGAAGTTATCGTTTCGAGTGTTTGGGTTATGTAGTATATCATATGATTGCACCTGAGGTTGCAGGTATGGGTTATTACAGTTGGTTCGGGCTTATTCTGAGTATAGATGTGAGGTTCTGATCTTGTGTATGATTTCAGAAAGTGCAATGTGGTTCTATGGTTTATGGACTAGATGGATTGTGAAATTTCAGCTATGTTGTGTTATCGAACCTATGCGAGATAGGGTGACTGTCACACCTCCTTTTTACTTACTATACCCCCGAAAGAGGGTATAAGTAAAGGGAGTTATTTCCAACTTGAAGTGACAATCGAAACGGGATTCATTTTATCAAAAATTCAGAGTCGCTACTTGGGAGATTTATGGTGTCCCAAGTCACCGGTTTTAATCCCGAATCGAGGAAAAGAATGACTCTGTTATTATAGTCTGCGAACCAAAAATCCGGGTAAGGAATTCTGTTAATCCGGGAGAAGGTGTTAGGCATTCCCGAGTTCCGTGGTTCGAGCACGGTCGCTTTGATCCTACTTGGCTTATTAAGTTATTTAATTACTGATTTTAGAACCTATGTGCTTTCCGCTTTTAATTGAGAAAATTATCTTGAAACGGGTTACGCGTACGTATACCCGCTTGTTTGGCGCGTCAGAAATTATGTCACGCGAACGTGTCCACGATTAATAACGCTTTATTATTATTAAGAAAGTTTGGGCCGAAGTTGCGCGAATGCATACTCCGTTTTTGTTTTAGAAGCATAATTGTGTTACGCGGACGTATACACAATCACACTAGTATTTTTAAACGGCCCTAAAGGATATTCTACGAAATATTAGTCATTTTTAATATCTAGGTTATAAGGCTAGTACGAGGGCCATAAAAACTAATTAACAGCCCATGAAAACCTATTTTTACTATTAAGAAGAGTTTAATCAAAGTTGCGCGAACGCATACTCCAAATTGATTTTTAGAATTGTGATGATGTTACGCGAACGTATACGCAATCACAATCGTGTTTTAATCGGCCCTAAAGGCTTTCTACGAACATTATTTTAATTAGCTAAGCTACAATATATGAGAACCATGACTTATACACAAATTGAAAACAAGAGAAAAATATGTACAGTATGTGGGGATCAAGCTAATATAACTTTGGACATGCTTATTTCCAATGATCCAACCGACTCCATTCATTCCTCAAACACATTGTGAAATGGGAGAAATATTTGGTACTGATTATTTTAATTGACTTGTCATTCAAATATTCGGTACGGGAATAAGAAAATCAGTAAAGGAAATCTGCCCAAATTTGAAATCAAATTGCGATTAAACCAAATTGTGTCATGTGCACATATTACTCTTCACATTGAAACATATTTTCTACCTTAGATAGAGACTAACATAATAGTATGAAATCACTCTCTGTTAACCAGTGAAAGAACGCAACAACTAGGACACAAAATTTTAAAGAAATACTTTGTTTTCCCTAGATTTTACAAAGAACAGCATGCTTGCAATCACCAGTGCAGACTCACACTAGACATACTTGACATTACTCCAACCCCAAAGCGATAGATCCAAAACAGTAACGGACAAATTTGATGAAGCCATTAATACTAAAATCCTGAATTTCCCTTTTCACTAAACAATCATATACATCTACGCTGACAGCCAGAAATGTAACACGTACTGTCATACAAACCACGAATAGGCATAAACCTGAACATAAACCTTTCTTTTGCATGAACAAACCTCATTTAAAGCCTAATAGAGACATTTATGGACTGTATTCCAACACATGATGTCGATGTATACTATAACAATGGAACTAATTCATCAGATCACTACCAGTGGGCAAAAGGCATTCAAAACTTGAAGAAATCAGGGGAGGGTGAACATGAAAGTTAACTTATGAATCCATTGTCGCTTATGCTAATAGTTAGAAACCACTTATATAAGCCTAAATTAAGCAAAAGGTCACAGTAAATCAAGAACAAATCAGGAAACAAAGCAAAAGAAATCTCATGCTTCAATTCTTCACGTCAATTCATTTTCTCAAATTCGAGCTTCATGATCAACAAAGTTACAAAGGGGTGTACCTGGAAAATGAAACGAAAGAAAGCAGGATAATCAGAAATCCAGCAACAGTAACAGGGCAGCAGAATCAGCAGTTTAACACCAGATTTTGAAACCAGAAAATGAGCTAAACAGTCCAAAACTCAAATTCAAACCAAACAATGGACCAAAACACCTCAACCAAGCTTGCTTTTAATCCATTTCCAATGTTAGCTAATCAGAACTTGTTTCAATATCAAAAGCAATTCAGAAACTAGTAGAAGAAATCAAATAAACAGTATTATTTGAAGCTTTAGCCGTCTAGAGAATTTCAGGGATTTTCAGCTCCTTCCCTCCATTGAACCCCAAGTAACTATGCCTTTATAGGCAAGTTACTAGGGCAGCCTTAGGGGTTTTATTCTTCTTTTTTAGTCCTTCTCTAATTTTCAAAATAGCTACTTAGCCCCTGATTTTCTGACTTGCTACCCAAGTTTAAACACCTAAATCCTGATATTCAAATTAAAACCCCACCCTAGAAACTTCCAAATCAGTTGCTAAAATATTCCCTCTAATAAAATTTCTAAAACACCCTTCCAATCCCCTGTTATTACTGCAAGAACTTAATGGGTCACAGGTCAACTGACCCAACAATTAAGCCGGGCCTGGGCTCACAAATTGATCCGGATTCCTTTAGAGAGAACTGTGAAATGAACTTATGGCCCAAACAACACACAATCCCCCCCCCCCCCCCAAGCCCAAACTAAATTGAAACAATCCAAATAAGGAACACAAAGTTAACAAAGCTAAACCAAACGAACTTAAACAATCAGCCGATAAACTTAGTTAGAACGAAAACTTAGGAAGAGAAAGGTTTAAAGTAAACAAAATAGGGAGAAATCAATTCTATCTAAAATTCTCCAAACTTTTAAAGTGCGTACCGAAAAAGAAGAAAGGAGGGAATGGACAAAACTGAGAAACCAAAATAACAAACGAAAGAGAAAAGAAGAGAGCACTTACTAAGCTTAAGCCCGACCTCAACTGACCCTCCGATTTTGAATCACAAAAAGATATTAATCAACTGTTCTTCGTCAAGAACAGGCGAATAATATCGCTTTGTGATAGAACCAACCTGGGATGCTCCTAGACACTGGAGAGGTACTCTTGCATGAACGGGTTTTGACTTTGACTTTTAGGGCTGGAATTTTGGATCTAAGATTCGAGACGTTTCAACTGGATTTGATGAAAGCTGGTTTGAGATTTGGGGAGAGGGGGTCACGGTGAGTTCGTGGTGTGATTTTGGTTAAAATTGAAGACTCACCGCCACCGTAGGGCAATTTCCGGCGGCGGTGTGCGGTGGCAGGAGATGGAGAGGTGAGATACGAGGAGCGATTCAGTTTAAGTCTCCTCTAATTCAGACATTTTAATTAAAACTGGAGACGAACCCCTGGCCGTTGGATGATGGGAAAATGAAGGGGTGGGATTGATTTGAACCTAATGAACTCAAAACGACGTAGTATCTCCCCCATACTACGTCGTTTCAAGAGTCTCCACAGCTGACCATTTGGACCGGGTTTGGGGAGGACGTTGGGCCTGGTTTGAACGGGTATTGCTGGGCTGGGGAATTTAATCTATTAAACGGCCCAGACATGTTTTACTCTCTTTCATTGAATCCTTAATCAAAATCCTTTTTTTTTTTCCAAAATCAATTCTTTTTTTTTGTTTTTCCTTTTCCTCTCTTTTTTTTTCCAGAAATAATAATAAAAACTAAATTAATTGCTACAACCTAAATGAACTAAATACACTAGTTAAACCTAAATAAGAACTATCAAAATTAATTAATCAGACAACTAAAAGGAAAATCACTCTAAATTAAAATCTGGAATGAAAAATGCAAATTAACCTAATTTTTGGTGATTTTCTTTTATTTAAAACAACTTAATTACTAAACAATTATAAAAATGCAAAATTAACTCCTAAATGCATATGCATCATATTTTTTGTATTTTTGACCAATTAAAATGCACAGACAGAAATGCAAACAATTAACGGAAAATGCCACAAAATTCCACAGAATCGCAAACACTGAAAGAAATCATTTTGTTTTGAATTGATGGGAGTAATTCATATAGGGCAAAAATCACGTGCTCACAGTGACGTGGGATCACCCCCAGGTATATGCTTGGTAAGGTCATTCAACTATTGGTTGGCTTCTAGGACAACTCTGGGTACGCTCGAGGACGAGCGTTTGTTTAAGTTGGGGAGAATGTGACGCCCCGACCCGTGTCTAATGAGAACCGCTCCGTTTTCCCATTTTCTGCTTCTTTATGCTTCATTATAAGAGTCTTGTGTGAACGAGTTGATTTGGATTGGTTTTAGAAGGAAATGAGATACTTAGTCTCTTTAAGGAAGGTTTGTTTTGAAAAAGTCAACCGGACGTTGACTTCTGTGTTAGAGGGCTCGGATATGAATTCCGATGATTCGGTTAGCTTCGGGGGATGATTTGTGACTTAGGAGTGTGATCGGAAGTGATTTTGGAGGTCCGGTGTAGAATTAGGCTTGAATTGGCGAAGTTAGTATTTTGGCGAATTTCGGTTGATAGGTGAGATTTTGATCCGAGGGTCGGAACGGAATTCCGAGAGTTGCAGTAGCTTCGTTAGGTGATTTGGGATGCGTATGCAAAATTTCAGGTCATTCGGAGGTGATTTGGTTGTGTTTTCGATCGAATGCGTGTTTCGGAAGTTTTAGAAGAACTTAGGCTTGAATCTGATGTATTTTGATTGTTTTGATGTTGTTTGAGGTGTTTTGATGATTGGAGCAAGTTTGAATGATTTTTTTAGGATACGTTGATGCTTTTGGTTGAGGTCCCGGGGGCCTCGGGGTATTTTCGGATGGCCAACGGAAGGTTTTTGGGACTTTGGATGCTGCAGAAAATTGCAGGTCAGTGCTGCAGAGTTTTGCTCTATGCGATCGCAGGAGAGGCTTCGCGATCGCATAGAAGGATTTTTGGGGATGGTCAATTGTTCAACACGACCGCATGGTTGTGTTCGCGATCGCGTAGAGTCGAGAGTTCATGCAATGCGATCGCGGGAGTGTCAGTGCGATCGCATAGAGGAATCTTGGGAGTTTGGATTTTTGTTCATCGCGATCGCGTGGGTGAGTCTGCGATCGCGTAAGGTAAAATGTTTGGTCATTGCGATCGCAGGGATGTTTACGCGATCGCGTAGTGTTAAATTTTGGAGTTTGAATTTTGTGCATTGCGATCGCAAGCCTGGGGCTGCGATCGCATAGAGGAAAAGAGGCATGGACAGAAGGGTTTTAATAATATTTCATCCGCGAACCAAGTCTTATTTCCACCATTTTTGAGCAACCTTGAGAGCTTTTGGACGGGAATTGAAGATGACTTCGACGGGGATTGATTGGAGGTAAGTCCTAAGAACCAAAAACACGTTTTTATTGTGAATTTAGACTGAAAAACCAAGGAAATAAGGAGTTAGAATGATGGTTAGGGCTTGAAACTTAAGAGAGTTTAAATGGGGATTTGAGGGGTCATTTGGACTCCGATTTTGGTAATCTTTATATGTATAGACTCGTGGCGAGATAAGGAATCCGTTGATGTTTAATTCTCTGATTTTTGAGTAGTGGGCCTGGGGCTCGGGTTTTGCTAATTTCGAGATTTCAGCTATTTTTCGATTGTTTTCGCTTGGGTATTGTTCCATTGGCATATTATGACGTATTCGTTGTGGTTTTGATCAGATTCGGCACGAGGAGGTCGATTTGAGAGGCAAGGGCATAGCGAGCTAGGATTTTGGCCGGCTTGAGATGAGTAATGATTGTAAATGATATCTTGAGGGTTTGAAACCCCGAATTTGCACATTGTAGTGCTATGTTGAGGTGACTTGCACGCCGGATAACGGGCGTGGGGTAGAGCACCGTCGGGGATCGTGACTTGGTCCGTCCCGCTTAATAAAATTACTACCTAATTGATTGCAGCTTAGTAGATATCCTTATAAAAATGAATTAATTATCATAATTGGGCTTCGTGCCAACCGCTTGAATCCTTCAGGGATTGTTTTTACTGGTTTCTTACCGTATTTACAGATAATTGAACTCAGTCCTAGTATTTAATATTGTTTTGCAAACTCAGCCACTTTTTCTCAAAACTTGGAACTTAAATAATATTTCTAATGAAGTTTGGGCTGAATATTTCTATATGATTGTGCCCGTGGGGCTTATGTGAGTTTGGACTGAGCACGGGATCGGGCTACACGCCGCAGTGGTATGATATTGATATTGATATGAGGCCGAGGGCCTAGTTGATGCCACGAGATGGCTTATTATTGCGCTTGGGCCGTAAGGGGCCCCTCCCGGAGTCTGCACACCCCCAGTGAGCGCCGTCGACGATAAATAAATGGAGCGGGCTGCACGCCGCAGCGGGTACTGGAGAGTACCGGTCTATGTGTTGCATTGCATAGTTTGATTGTCATTTACTTATTTATCTGTTGTGATATTTCTATAATTGTTTTCACTGATTTATTGATTTTATGCTATTGGGTTCAAGTTGCTGTATTTATAGAATTGCTTCGTGCCTATTGAGGATTTCTTATTCTCAGTCTATATTTATGTTTATTACTCACTGGGTCGGAGTACTCACATTACTCCCTGCACCATGCGTGCAGATCCAGGTACTACTGAGGCTGAGTGAGGACTTCTCTGCCTAGCATCATATTTAGGAGTTTCAAGGTAGCTGCAGTTGACGTTCGTAGTCCTGATCTTCCTTCTATCTTATTTATTTTAATTTCTGCATTTCTAGAGAACGATATGTAGTAGGTTGATACTCATGTATTAGAGGCTCAGACTTGTGACACCGGATTCTTCGGGCTGTGTAGTTATTTTATATTTTGGGATTTCCGCATGTTTAACTCTATTCACGGATTTTAGTATTTTGACTTGGTAATCATCTGTGTTAATTAATTCATGAACTGGGTAAAATGGTTAAGGTTATTTAATTGGTCGGGCTTGCCTAGCAGTGTGTTGGGTGCCATCACGATCGGGGCTGGGATCGTGACACTGAAGTTCAGGACTACCTGTCCTAAACTTCTGTTAACCCTGTTTTATATTATATTTTCAGGTTTCTTTATATGTTTTATGCATATGGATCATCATTATCTAGTTGGAATCATTGTAGACCAGTGATTGCTGTTGATGTAACTTTTTTGAAGTCAAAATTTCGTGGTGTTTTAATGATTTCAGTTTCAAAGGATGCAAATAACCAAATTTTCCCACGCCTTTGGAATAGTAGAATCTGAAAATAACAATTCCTATGAGTGGTACTTTAGTCAGCTCCGCAATGCAATTGGGAGCCGTGAGAATTTAATATTTTTATCAGACAGGCATCAAGCTATTGCATATGGCATTGCAAAGGTATATCCTGAAAGCCATCATGGGATTTGCATCTATCATTTGGAGCAGAACCTAAAGCGAAGGAAGGTGAAAAGTGAGGTCATAAAACTTTTCCAAAGTGCTGCAAGAGTATACATGCGCAAAGAATTTGATCTATACATGTCAGATATAGCAAAAGTAGATAAAAAGACTTATGACTACTTGATGGAAGAACCACCGGAAAGGTGGGCACGTTCTTGTAGTCCACGACGAAGATATGACATGCTCACAACAAACATAGTTGAGTCAATGAATTCTGTCATATTAGAAGCAAGGGAGCTGCCTATATTAAGAATGATGGATTTCATTCAAGTGAAGCTACAACGTTGGTTTTATGAAAGAAGAAATGAAGCAGAAGGAACTTTTTATGATGTTTCTTGTTGGGTAGAGGAGGAATTGAAGAAAAAATAGATTTAGCATTTACTTTGAATGTAAGTATTATGTTCTATGTTTAGCTTATGATTTTAATATAATTTAACATAATGTACTAACTTATAATTTTTCAACATTGAAGGTCTTCCCTGTTGATTTATGGCGTTCTAGAGTTGAAGAAGAAGGAATAACTTTCTTGGTGGACTTAAACAAAAGAACATGTGATTGTTTTCAGTTTCAATTTGATGAATTACCATGCATACATGCAATTGCAGCTATCGAGAAGAGAAACATCCAGAAGTCCAACTTTTGTTCACACTGGTACTTAAAGGAATCTTGGCTGAAAACATATGAAAGACAAATACATCCTGTAGGACATACTGATTCTTGGATTGTACCAGAGAGTGTTAAGTCACAAATTGTTAAACCTCCAGATTTCAAAGTGCCACCAGGTAGAAGGCAGAAGAAAAGGCATATTCCAGCTACTGAGTCATAAAAAATAACATTCAAATGTGGTTGTTGCAGAAGAATTGGTCATAATAGAACAACTTGTATATATTCTCCGGTAGTCCATCCATTTTCAAGAAAGCATAGAGAATAGTAGATATATCCACTTAAGTTTATCGACTCTTTTAAGTTTTTGCTATAAATTGGATTCATTTTGATTATCTTATTTGAGCAGATGTCTGAATTTTCAAAATTTCTTTCTGCTTACCTTCTTTTTGTTTCTTTTGAGTTCAAAGATTAAAAGTTAAGGACAGGAGTCCGTAAGTTTGACTTGCAGGTTCAAAAGTTAAGGACAGGCAGTCCTTAACTTTGAGTTTCAAGTTCAAAACTTAAGGACTGTCTGTCCTTAACTTTGAGTTACAGGTTCAAAAGTTAAGGACAGGCAGTCCTTAACTTATATTTCAAAGTTCAAAACTTAACGACAGTCTGTCCTTAACTTTGAGTTTCAAGTTCAAAAGTTAAGGACTGTCTGTCCTTAACTTTGAGTTTCAAGTTCAAAAGTTAAGGACAGGCAGTCCTTAACTTATAGTTCAAACTTAAAAACTTAAGGACTGTCTGTCCTTATATTTGAGTTTCAAGGTCAAAAGTTAAGGACTTTCTGTCCTTAACTTTGAGTTTCAAGTTCAAAAGTTAAGGACAGGAGTCCTTAAGTTTGACTTGCAGGTTAAAATGTTATGGACAGACAATCCTTAAGTTTGAATTACACGTTTAAAAGTTAAGGACAGGCAGTCCTTAACTTTGAATTCAAAGTTCAAAGGTTAAGGACTGCATGTCCTTAACTTTACAAAAGTTAAGGACAGGAGTCCTTAAGTGTGACATGCAGGTTCAAAAGTTAAGGACAGGCAGTCCTTAAGTTTGAATTACACATTCAAAAGTTCAGGACAGGCAGTCCTTAACTTTGTGTTCAAAGTTCAAAAGTTAAGGACACTTGGTCCTTAACTTTGAATTTGAAGTTCAATTACACTTAGTTATGAACTAATACTAACAAACTCAATGGACAAATCAACACTTAAGAGAAACAAAGAAATTAATAACATAATGCCTTGATATTACTTCTGAAATTGTAATTTTGCATAGCTGTGACAAAATATAATGCTACGCAAACAAAATATAAGTGCCTTTTGAGGAATTTACAGAATATTTCAGAAGTTTTCTGAACTTGCAGAATTCATATGTATCCTTTACAGCAATTTTATACAAAAGATCAACCACAACTAACTTTCTTTACAGCTAAACTACAACTCCTTTGGACAACAAGTTTCATTTTCACTCTCATAATCATCGCCAACATTTTCTGGTGGTGTATCATAATCAGAATTTCTTTTCCACTCACCATGTGCCCAAAGATTTGCGGCAAGTTCTTTTCTAAAGTCTTTTATGTCTCCAGGTTGGAATTTCTCCACATCCTTTCCAATCATCAGCAACTCCACATATTTGATCAGGAATTCACCACAATCAGTCCTAAGAAAAATGTAAGATATGCAGTGAGTTAAACAATAAATCTAAATTGCATACAAATAATATAACAAATAACAACACGTACGATCCAGTTTGGTGTGGTGATCTTTGCCACTGAATATCAAATTTGTTGAAGGCATTTCCAAACGACTTGTGATGTTTGTCAAACTGTGAGAACTTTAGCAAGTGGGGGATCATGCGTGCATAGATTTCCATGTGATTCATTCCTGCCTCATATGGCTCACTATACATGGAATCGTATACATCAATCTTTTCTGATTCAAGCCCAATACCCCCAAAAGAAAGTGTGTCACAGCATTATCATCTTCTAAAGGAAACCGACATGGATAAAAGATTTTGTCAACCTCTGTCCAAGCAATTCCACATCTACGGCTGTCCCCCCACACATATGGTGTCAGAAACAACTGATTATCACCAGCACACCAAAAGTCATCAGTAGCATCTTCACTGAAATCTTTATACCCAAGCACCATATAGTTATCAAAAAGAATATCAGTAGTTGTGCAACGAAAAGGATGGTCGCGAGGGTGGTAGCATTCCTTCTTTCTCAGATAATATAGGGCAATGTCAATATGCTTCATAAAAAGGCAAAAAATAAAACAAATCTATCAGTCATAAAATAAGTAAAAAAATGATAAATTAAGAATAAAGAAAATAAATGCATTGCGAATTATCTAACCTTATCATCAAGTACAAAGCTGCTATCTGAAAGCTCAAGGAAGAACATTTTGCTACTGATTTTTTGATGATACAATTTGTATGGATTCTTTCTCACCCCATTATCATCAGCATATATATATATATAT